CGAATTCTGTGGCTCAAATGGTTCTTGAGAAACTTCGAAAAAAGCAGCGTCATGTTCAAGTGGAATTTGCAACTCAAAAAAAACCACGCAAATCTAAAACTTCTTAAAATCAAGCATTTTTTGAGAAAACTGCCAACATTTCCTTATCGAAGGTTCACTTTCTAAAAGGGCCATTTATTTCAGTCTAGAATGATGTACAAATGAGCGTTCTTCCTCATTTTGCCTCCGAGAAATGAGCAAAAATGGGACGGAAAGCATGGAATTTTGGCATAATCTTGCAAATAAGTGTCTGATATTAAAATTTGCCTTTCTGGTTCAAAACTACTCGAATTTCCCCACTCACGTTGTTACGACTGAATCGAGTTTTCAATTCTCTATTCAACGATGCCAAAACCGAATTCTGTGGCACAAATGGGGCCTGAGAAACTGCCAAAAAAGCAACGTCGTGTTTGAGTCAATTTTGCAACTAAAAAACACGCAAATCTAAAACTTCATGAAACCAAGACTTTTTTGAGAAAACTGCCAACATTTCCTTATTGATGGTTCACTTTCTAAAAAGGCCATTTAGTTCTCGCTGTAATGATGTAAAGATGAGCCCTCTGGCTCATTTTGCTTTCGAGAAATGAGTAAAAACGGGACGGAAAACATGAACATTTTTCATAATCTTTGCACCTAAGTGTCTGATATTAAATTTTCTCTTTCTGGGTCAAAACCACTCGCATTTCCTCACTCATGTGGTGATGACTAAATCGAATTTTCAATTCTGTATCCAACGATGGCAAAACGAATTCTGTGGCTCAAATGGGGCCTGAGAGACTGCCAAAAAAGCAACGTCGTATTTGAGTCAATTTTGCAACTAAAAAAAAAACACGCAAATCTAAAGCTTCTTGAAACCAAGACTTTTTTGAGAAAACTGCCAATATTTCCTTATTGATGGTTCACTTTCAAAAAAGTTTTTTTCAGTCACATTTTTTTGTTTTTAGACTGAGTGAAAAAAATGGTGGTTTATCGGGCAAGTATTAGAATCTGTGCTTTGATGGTTTGAAAGTTTAGTGAAAATGTAGAAAATTTGAATAGTTTTGCACTGGCAAACATCCAAGGCAAGTTTTCCGTAATATTGTGCAATTTATTGATAATTTATACAAAAGTTGTTTGTCGGTGGAGTCAAAAAATCTTCAAATTGGAACAACATTCTATTTAATTTCTTTCGCAATATCAATTATATTCTCCACAGTAGAATTTTTTTAAAGCCACTAAGAAATATAGCTATTGCTTACCAGAAACCTTAGAGTAATTAGGCAAAAATTGCCTCCTTGACACACTTACCGGCTTGTAGGACTATCAGCTTTAACGATGCCACATTCATTGGTAAGAAGTTGTAATTTTAAAGTAACCATTGTGAATTTGCCTTGGCCCACAACGAAACATTCCTTATTTTCGGAATTTCCGTGCATGTATAATTTTCCGTGAAAATTTGTTTCGGGTTGATAGCGAATGGTCATGTAGCTTTCAGTGCATGAAACAGTAACTGAATCCAAATTCAGTGATTGAATTAGTTAAAACCCAATGATTTAAGGAATACTTACTATTAAGGCATCGAGCTTTTTCGTAATAAGTCGCTCCTTGTTTGGAAACGAGGATTCTTGGACCTCTGAGCTTTGTGTCCTCACTGTGCAAAATGCACTTTTTCCCACTGTCCAAGCTAAACCCTCTGCAATTGAATGCTTGGTAAACCTCGCACTGATGTTGGCATTGATCTTTGGTCATATTTAGCAACCTTAAGTCCTTGTGCTTGAAAGCAACGTCTCCGTATTCTTCGTAGGTACAGTATTCATTATCTTGATGCTCTAAAAGGAAACTTTATGTAGCAGATCAGCCTTCCAGGAAAATTCCCCCCTTTCTACGTGCCTGTAGGTGGATTATCCCGGATTTTTGTGCACTGGTTTTCCAGGTAATAATCATCATAAGTTGAAACTCTATAGGAAGTGGGCATTAAGTGCCTGTCACTGTTGCTCAGAGTGCATAATCCCACAGTCTCATTTTGAGCAGAACTGACTCTAAATTTAACGGATCTGCAGTCAAAATCGGTTTCATCCAAGCAGTTTTGCTGGCATTCCGATCTGGACATGTTTCTGGGCAGAGCTTTAGTGTCATTGCCTATCAAAGTGGCTCCTCTGACTGTTTCAAACACCCACGATTTGTTACAACCTCTTTCTAAAATATTTTAGAGGTTTTTAAAGAGATGAATTTTTATTCACTGAGCTCACCTTCTTGCAGACAGACTTTAACAAACCATGCTGCTGCATTATCAACTTCCATTCCAGACTCATTCCTGATAAATGTTTGGTCGTTCTCAAACCAGTAGCAATCAGAAGTGTCGTAAAAGAGTACAAAGCTTTGACATTTTTCGTTTTTCTGGCAATTTTGCAGACATTGAATAGTAACGGCGGCATCAGTTTCGTTTTGATTCAGAGGGACTAAGAGCTGTTCTCGATTCAAGTTGATTGGGGGAAGGCCGATGATTTTTTCGAATTTTATGTTCGATTTTGGGCAATTCAGCAGGCGAGCAGCAAATGCTGGAATCACATAATGTGAAGAAAGCACAATCAGGAAGTTTTTAGACTTGGGGTTGCAGATTGTTCCTATGCGGAGTTAATATAGGGAGATAAAGAGCAACATTTTTTTGCCCGATATTTATAATTCGTCATTTACAAAACTGAGATTTAGTTTCATGACTGATGGTCTGATTTCAATCACCTTTAGACAACATACTAATAAGATTTGTGTTTGAAATAGTTTTCTATGATTCCAAAAATTCCCCAATTATCGTTATTTGTGGGTGTTTTTTAAGAATTCGTATTAGTTCAACTTAAAAAAAATTTCACGTGTATTTATACGGAATTTTTTATAGTCAAATCGGTAGGAAGCAGATTGCGCTCGCTAAATGTGTTTTTTAGGATCTTATTCGTTTGCTTTCGTCCGTTTTGTTGATATCTGGGGAGCGATCTAATTTTGTCTGTTAAATAACGCGTTATTTTATGGAATTTATTTAGAAATTAAGGCTAATCTGTTTTCGTGGAATAGTAATTTTGCAGCTCTATTTTTGCGGTTTTGCTTTCAGCAGAAACTTGGTAAAGCGGGTAAATATCGATCGAATCATTCTTTGAAAGCCCCATAAATTTCGAGAATTAAAGACCCAAACTAACCCAAGACTCAGTTTTTTGTGTTCATTGCTTTGGTTTGAATGAGAACTGCTTGCATTTTAAGAATCGGGTTTGTGTAATTTTGCGTATAATTTACTTTGGTAACTGCAAAATTCTGAAAATGTCCGATTCACAGTTGAATTTGACTATCAACCAGTCTCAAGACCAGAAATGGTCTCTAAAGGGAAATTTTTTAAACATAAATCGTGGATATAATTTTTGGTTTTGAATTTCAAAATTATAAAAATTGTAAAAACTTACAACTGAGACAATTAGAAAATGCAAAAGTAAGAAAAAATAATTACAAATCATGAAAAGAGCAAGAAAGCCTAGTTCAAAATCAAAGGTATATTAGTTAAATAATTCATGAATTAGATAATTCAATTGTTTGCTCAAAATGAGTATTTTGGAATTTTTGCATCAAAATCTTTAACATGGAGTATGGCGTATTGCCGTTTCTTTGATAAATTGTTCATTCATATTTTCTTCCGAATATTTTTCTAATGATATTCTTTAAGTTTACTGTTACTAAGATTGCAAAAATTTTCGTTTTAACTTAAAACAAATTCTGAACGGAATTTCGGTTAAATTATCCAATAATGAAGCTTTTTGAAGATTTAAAAATACAATTTGTTGTTCCGAAAGTTTCAAAAATCAAGTCTGCAGCTCCAAAGTGTGGATGAATTAATGTTCTTAGTTAGTTTTTCAGCATATTAACTGCACATTTTTGGCAATTTTAATACAATACAAACATGCCCCTAACAACTAAATTATTAGCTTCAATCATTAGTTCAAGTGCACGAAATCGTATAAATTAAATTAACTGAATGCGAAACGGCGATTTTTATTGCAACCTATAAAAATATCTTTTTGTTTCATAAATTAACCGAGGACGACACAGCAATAAATACATATTGTAAACTTTTTCAATGTATGTTTTCATTATCATACACTTTTATGAAGATACATATAATTAATTATATGCGTGTTGTTTACATGAGAAATCATGGAAAAACGCCAGGGATACTTAAGTTATTTTTTGAAAATTATTCTCGGCAACGCGTCTTTGTTACTTCAAAAAATAATTTTCTTTGCTGAATTTTCGGTTTGTCGGTTATATTTCTTAACTCCTGCGAATTAATTTTGTTAAAATTTATTTTTTTCTTTCCTAAATTTGATCATGGCCCTCAACAGTGAAGCCTGCAGCTTGGATTTTTGCTGTTGATATTTTTTCCAATTATCTAATTTAATAATAAGCTAATTAGCATTAGCAAAAGAAAAGCACGAAACACGCATGAAACGTAAGAAGATAATAAATTAAATTAAGTAAAGTTGTGAGTGGTTAAAATAAGTAAATGTTTCAATTTTATTTATACGAAATGCGGAAAATCTATTTTCACTATTATATTGTATGCTTATCAATTATAAAACTAGTTCAAGTGCAAATAGTCACATAAATGAAGTTTGCTGCAAAACAGCGACGTTTACTGAAATGTACGAAATTACAATTTTGTTCTATAAACTCTGGTTATATGGCTATATGGAATAAATAAAATACTCTATTTCGATCAGTTTTAAAGCTCTAATCAGCAATTTTGATATGTTTAATTATCTTACATTTTACAAAAAAATAATGTAAATTAAATTTAAAAAGTCCTTTGTTTTCGTATCAATTCTTGTTTTTTTTCTTGTTAAATGTAGTTGATTGTAGCTAAATTGGAAACATCCGTGCAACTTACCGGCGTTTGCTTTAATTAGAAGAATTGCCCACAAAACTCGAAACATTATTGCACTTGCACATTATTTTATTCGACTTTTTATAACAATGATTATTTATTGATATTTGCTTAAAATTTGCGGATCAGAGGTTTGCTTATAAGAACATCGACGTCTCGAAGAAGTCGCAGTCGAAAATGAAAATAGTCTGAAACAATTAGGTACCACTCGCGTGTAATTTGACGAAACAATATTGAAAACGCAGTACCACCATGAGTAAAAAAATTGCACTGCATGATTGACACAATCGACTATCTGTATTACGTAAATAATATTGTCCTTGTTGAAAATACAGAGGGTACCTTTACCTATTGTCGGTTTAGGTGCAGGTACCGCCAATAGAATCATAGGAGGATGCATTGCGTTTATATGCACTTTGCTTTTCAGTGTCCAGACTAAGTTTAAAAATTTAAAGCTTTTAAGTACCGCGTAAGAAAGTTCAATGTTTCTTTTTAATTTTTTATTTGTCATGTCAATTCATTTAGGCCTGTTTTCAAATTATAAAAAATTCTCGGAAAAAACTTGCATTTATGATAAAAAGTGAAAGTTTCGTGGTCAGTCATCAATAAATAATCCACTTAAAGAACAATATGGGACGTTCCCATTTTGTTTAACAAAGCGGATCCTATTAACCTGTCGATGGCCATTTATGCGGTGTATTACAATCAGTGAATGGTAATGAAATATTTATTTAAAATACGTCGATCACTCAATACGATCCAGCTTAAAGTTGGAGTCAAAGTTGAATAATGACTCTCAGCACTTAATTTCTATTAGGCTTCAAAACTTCCGCAATAAAAACTATTTGTTCGAAATGATCTGGTTTTTGTGTTAGTGAAAAACAACAGAAAATTTATTTAAAATACATGTTACATGGCCGGCTATTGTTAATGACTCATTTTTACATTAACTAGTTGCAAGGTTAAACTAGGTGCATTATGATAATTCAGGTTCAGTGACGATATCTAGCGCTTTGATATTGCTGGGAATTAATCTAAGTTACTGAGCCGTAAAACAAATTATTGCTTTCTTCGTAAAAAAATGTATTTCCAAATGCTTTTAACCGCCCAGTATTGTGCTGCAATGCGAACAGCATACAAATAACACGGTGTCACAATGTGAGTGATAATCAAAAACCCATGTTGGTATTTGATAATCATTTGAAATTGGCAATTTCGTAGATGTTCTGTTTGAATTGCGTTATAAACGCCCCTATAAATATGGTTTGTAACTAACTAACTAAGCAGATAGTTACAAGTCGCAACATTTGTTGGAAAATGTCGTTTTGTTTAATGATAACTATTGGCAAATGTTCATAATTAATATGGTGATTTTTGCGGTAAATATGGGTATTTGGGACGAGTTATATTTGTGTTGATCTAATTTAGTTATAATTTTAAGTAATTATTTGAAGTTTTCTGTTCAAGAGTAGAAGTTGTTTGAACTAGTAGCGATTTAATTGCCTGATGCAAAATTATGGTCAAACTTTGTACAATTTTGCACCAATAACAAAACATCCGCAGGCAAAATATTTGCAAATACTTCCAACAATTTTTCCCAGCAAAACTTTATATTAAATAACCATTCTAATTATGTCAAAATAAAAGTAAAAACTGGTGACTTTTACATAGTGTGTAAGCTTTAGAGCGGAAAAATCTCTGATGGTGCAAACTCGAAGGCCCACAAATCCAAAAAACCTCATCACTGTCAAGTCGAATTCCAGTTTCATTTGGCGATGGAAAAATTGTATTGATTTTATGAAATTTTATATATTGATTTTAGAGCAATTTAAAATTTCAATTCTTTATCCAACGATGCCAAAACGAATTCTGTGACTCAAATTGGGCTTAAGAAACTTAGAAAAAATCACCGTCATGTTTGAGTTTATTTTGTTATTTGCTCAAAACTCAAAAAAAAAACGCGCAAATCTAGAACTTCTTGAAATCAAGACTTTTTGAGAAAACTGAAGAAAAGAAAACTTTCTTAATAGGCCATTTAGTACTCTGGAATGATGTACAAATGAGCAAGCTTATTTTGTTGCGTATTTTGTTTCCGAGAAATGAGTAAAAACGGGACGAAAAGCCTAAAATTTTTACCTAATCTTGCACCTTTTTGGGTCAAAACTGCCCGATTTTCCTCACTAATGTTGTTATGACTGAATAGAATTTTCAATTCTCTATTGAATGACGCCAAAACTAAATTTATGCCTCAAAAGGGGCTTGAGAAACTCAAAAAAAAGCAGCATGATGTTTGAGTCAATTTTGCAACTTAAGAAAAAACACGAAAATCTAAAACTTTTTGAAATCAAGATTTTTTTGAGAAAACTACCATCGTTGCGAAAATACTGCCAACGACGGAAAAACATAGTAGTAGAACATAGAGCACATAGTGGCAATTATATAATTGTTCGCAGAAATTGCAATTTTATTCGAAAATTTATATTATTATCTTTGAATGATTTGAACTTTAACGTTTCAGTAGCGAAATTATCTGTAAATTTTGTAAAATTCTGATATACACCATGTTTTACAACTTAAAATGATAATTATTCTCACTGAAAGTGCCGTTTACAGCCATATTTCTCAGTTTAATGAGAGCAAATAAACAACGAATATTGTAAATTTTTTTGACGTGGAAGACAGAGGCAAATATTAAGAAAATGTAATATAACAAACGTTAGTGATGAACAAGATGGAGAAAGTGGTTACTTGGAAAAACTATTATGAATAAAAAATAAAAGATCTTGCTGGTTTCTGTAATGTCGTATTTTTTTTTAGTATTGTTTTATGCATTTCTTAGATTATTTCTTTGACTACTGCTGTAGAATAAGTTTGGGCTTAATTTTCAAGATTTGAAAGAAATGTTTTAAAGCATTGTTATTGAGTAAAAATGAGTTTGAATTAGTCAAATTTAGTTATAACGTAAATAAGTTGCATCTGACACTTATTTAGGTGGGTAGTAAATGATCTGAGATGATAAAATATAATAAATAAAATGGTAAAAAAATAAATAAGAGGGAAAAATTACATTAAATAACAGAGAAAAAATGTGAATCTTTACATTGATCAAACTCAATATGAACTGGCCGAATCACGCAAATATGACGAAAAAATCAACAAATTAATGAAGCGAAAAGAAAGTGTGAGGTCGTTCAGATAATTCAACTTCCATGAGTGAGATGCTTTTATTTGTGTAAACTTTGTGGAAAAATGCATGATACATTTTTCGTAACACATACATGCTATTAAAAGGCATTTTTATGCAAATTAAGTAATTAACATATTTAACAGTTCAATAAAAATGAACAAAAAATGACCAAAAGGTAAATTTAAAAAAATGCTAAAACGTAACTTTCTACTAATATCAAATGTTGGGATTTTCACTATTGTTAAAAAAATGTTTACATAACAAAATACCCTTAAACTATCCGTACTCATGGGGGTTTCGTTAGAATTGTGCAAGTTTGTCTTAATGCAACCATTTGAACTTACTCAAACCTGAAAAAAAAAGTATGTAATTTTTTTCTTAACTAAATGTACTGCAGGTTTCACTTACAAAAGTATCTCAGTCTTCTATGAGATTTTTCGCAGGCTATTTTTCTGTTATAGATTGGGGCATACAAGACGTACACTGCGGGTGGGTCTTTTCTTAAATTCATCCAGTAATGAGTTGAGTGACTGAAAAATCAAAGCAATTCATGCAACTCGGCCAATTAAAGAAAATGTAAGTGTGACTTGGAAGAGGAGGAGAAAAATTATTATCAAAGATGACATAAATAGTGTTCATTACATGAGAGTAAACTTCCTTTTCGGCTGGTGCACCACAACGGTCTATTGCTTCCAGTACTGGCTTAACACAGTTATCAGCCTCTATGAGAACATCGCAGACTAATATCATGTCTTCATCTATTCGCTCAATGCAAGTGAATGATTGGTTTAATTTATCCTAAAAATGACGTGACCGCAAATATCTATGCATCCTTAAATTATTATTTACCTCTAACAATGTGCCGTCTTTAGGGCAGATTCTTCGTGCGATGTCAATAGAAGCTCGCTTTAACATTCTGCTTGCGGCGGATTCACTTGGTAGATTTTTGGCTTGTACTTTACTTTTCTCCCATGCTAGTGCTGCTATTTATATATGAAATTTTTCTGCAGTGTGGTAAAATGGTATTTCTATTACCTGTGAATAGGAGCGCAACCATTGCCAATTTTAAGAACGCCATTACAATATTAACTAAGTCAGGTTGGTGCTTTTGATGTGGAAGTAAAGTAAATCAGTTACTGAGGTCACTGAAATTGAACTAAGATAATCTTCCTTTAAATAACTGCAAAATAGGGCTCGTTAATGACGGTTTAATTAGCTGACCGAGTCAACCTAATTAACTTTTTTGATTAATGCAATAATTTGTTTTGTTTGCATTAAAATTGGGATTCCCAATGCGCTCATCTCCAATAAGTGAGCAAGACTCGTCAAATTTCTTGGATTTTAGCACAAATGCTCCTAAAGTTCGTCTTGAAAAACGTGCAAATTTCGACAATAAATTCAAGGTAATTACAATTATTGTCCTTCTATTATAAGCCATTGAGGATTTGTGTTTGTACTTATATTGATACTTTCAATTCCGAAACATGTTTGAATCGGACCGAAATTCTGCGATAGGAAAATAGTTATTTTGTCCTCTGTTTATTTCCGCTATAAATGAAGCAAAAGTTGTTAAATTTGATGACTGGTTAAGATCTTGAAACCTTTTTGTCATTTTTTATTGGATTGGGAAGTATTGGAAAAAAGCAATTATTACCAAAAGTGTTTTTTTGCAAGTAAATCGAAAACTAATAATTGTAGAAAAAATATGTTGTCACAAAATTTGATTAGTTTTTAGAGCTCTACGCATTCATATTTAATTTAGCAAAAGGCCACTTTCAGTTTACGAGCGACTCTAACTTAATTTTTTTTAATACGGACCTGAGATATTTTCTCGTTCTTTAAAATGCATATTTTCTCCTAATTTTAATGATGTACTCCATTTCATCCTCATTTCAACTTTTCCCGACGTTCTTGTGGAATAATTCATCACCAAGCTTTAGTATCGAAAAATACAAGTCGGAACCTGGATTTGAGTAGCAAATTGCATGTTTTTCTTTATACTTTTAGAAACTGCCTTTGAAAATAATCACAAATTTTGCTTTGTTCTTCACTAAGAATCATGAATTTTAGGAGTTGAACGAAAAGAAATTCCCATAATAAACCAAAAAACCTTAAGAAGTATACTTTTTTGGCTAAAAGGTATATCAATATTGTTTAATTAATTGAATATGACGCCGAAAAATCTAAAATATTGACAACTCAGCCACTCATATTGCAAAATAATAACAACTATTCGAAATGTCCTCTATTGCATTGAATACATGTTCTGCGTTTTCTGTAACTATTTTTTGTAAAGAAGTTTTGCACAGGCGGCTTAAATTTTAAGAATAAGTTGGTTCAAATCTATCGGAGGTGTTTGATAGGTCGGATCGTCAATAAAACCCCACCGAAAAATTCATGGGCGTTAAATCTGGCGATCCAGGTGGCCAGTTTATAGGATCATATACAAGTTCCAATACAAGAATTGACTTTCCAGGCATTTAGGAATCTTGTGTAGCGACATCAAGCGGAAAGTAATCTCAATTTCTTAAAATGTGTTTTGCAAAAAACTGTTAAGAATTTAGGTTTTCTGTCTAAAATTCCGAAAAATTGTTTAAATTGAACCGTCTATTGATGCAGAAGGGGCTTTTCTAGATCCAAAAAATCAGATTTTTGTCGATAATTTTCGGGTCTCAAATGTTGTTCTTTGTGGCAAAGGTAGATTCTAAAGAGATTTTTCTTTAAAATTCGCCTTGTTGAACTTTATGAAATTGCCAATTTGTTTTCCATTTCTATGAAAGATACCTCTCGGTCATACTAATATTTATAATCCAATTCTGTAAATAATAATGATTTGAAAAATAATTAAATTGAAATGTTTCCTTCTGCAATCGTAGTAGTCGCACTTTGCGTAGCAACATCAAGGAAAAAATAATATCAATGTTCTTAAAAGTTGTTTTTCAAAAAACTGAAAATAATTTAGCTCTTGTTAGATGCTCATAAAAAAATGGACCTACGGGTTTTCTGTCTAAAATTTCGAAAAATTGTTTCGATTGAACCCTCCATTGATACATAATCGTCTTTTATCGAGCCAAAAATCTCCTTTACAAACAATCACATTTTGCTTTGTGTTCTTTATTAGACATCCACAAAATATAATTTTTTGTGGATAATTTTTGTATCTCGTTGCACTTTGCGGTAAAAGAACATTCTAAGCTGATTTTTCTTAAAAATTCGCCTTGAAGAACTTTATGAAATTGCCAATTTGTTTTCAATTTCTATGAAAGATACCTCTCGGTCATAGATATAATTATCATGCAATTCTGTAAATAATAATGTTTTGAAAAATAATCGCATTGAAATGTTTACTTCTGCAAACGAAGTAATCGTATTAGCTACGTTTACGTGGACAAGTTTACGTTTCTATTACGTTTTCTTAGTTTCTGAGCGTTTTATTTGTCTCAGTGCAGTGCTACATTTTTCAGTTCCTTTAACTTCTCCACCTTTTTCTATAATTTACAACTATTTTATTAATATGTTTAATGTGTGAACGTAAAATTTAACTAATTGCAATTACGCAAAAACATGCCATGGTTTTAGAAACTTTATTTACATAGCAAATTGTTATACAGTCCCATTAAAGCCTCTCTAGTTACGGGAGATTTGCAGGAACTGTGCAGGTTGGTCTCAAAGCAACTTTTGAACTCTTGCACAAACCTGAAAGGAACATTATGCAATTTGCTGTTTAGTTGAATATGCTTTAAACTTACAAACATAATTCAGTTTTCTCTGGGATATTTTGTAGGCTATATTTTGCTTTCTGGTGTTTCAACTTGAACATACAGCGCCTGAAAGTCGGATGGCTTCTTTTCAAAATGCATGGATTGGTCAGTTCTAAAACTCGATTAATGTTACACAGAACAGGGGCAGTCACTATTGAAAAAGCATACCGAAAAAATGCTCCCCATCCAAGTGGCAAACATATTTAAAAATGGCATAAATAGTGTTCATCACATAAGTGTAAATTCCTTTTTCGGCTGGTGAAACACAATGTTCCATTGAGTCGATTAGCGGCTTAATGCAGGTTTTCGTTTGCAGCAAAACATCGCACATCATATTTTCGTTGTCATCAATTTCTTCAATGCAAGTGAAGGAATCGTTTAATTTAGTCTGAAATTTATCAAGCATCCGCAAACATTTATATCAAATTGTTATTATTTACCTCTAAGTTTGCGGCGTTTTTGGGGCAAATGCTTCGCATTAATTCACGAGCAGATCCTTTCATTTCATGTATTTTCGATGTATAGTTCTCGTCACCCAGAAGTAGATTTTCAGCTTGTACTTGGGTCTTCCCCATTGCTAGGGCTGAATTTTATGTGTAAAATTCGTTGTTAATGTTGTAAAATAAGTTTTCAGTTACCTGCAATGAAGAGCGCAAGCAGTCGCAATTTTAAGAACACCATTACGAAATTAACTAATTTGGTTGCTTCTTTAGAGTTTGAATGCATCTAAATCAGTTACCGCGGTCATTGAAATTGAACTTAGATAATAAATCTTTAAATATATGGAAATAACCCCAAATAAATCTGTTAGTTATTGATCATTTCTAACATGCATCGGTTGCTGTTGTTTTGCATTCTCGGTAAGTTATCAGTTCCATAACATTTGCAGTTATATCATCAAAACTCTCGAATTTAATGCACTAATTAGAAATTTTTCCGATTTAAGTTGGTCTCTCCAATGCGCTGATCCACGTTGGACATCACATAAAAAATGAGGCTGTAAAAAACGGAAAGTTGCGTAGCTTTTTACACAAATACGCTAACAACACAAATAGTTTGGAAAAATGTGCACATTTTGACAATGAATTCAACGTAATTACAATTAGCAATTTTTGCGTCTGGTTAAAGATATTGAAGGTTTGTAGCTTGTTAGCTCCGAAGCCGAAACATGTTTGGATCGCACATACAATTCAGACGAAATCACTTTCTGCAGTTATGTGAAAAGTGGCTTGCGAGATTGTTTCAATTCGACCAATGCTCTATTGGAAAAATGTCTTCCTGTTAAGTCCAAAAATGTTTTTTTGTTCATGTTGGATTCTACTATTAATCTGCTCAAAGCTGTGTGTGCAGCTTCAGCTGCTGAGGTAATCGGTAAGTGGAACAGAGTTGTAAAAAAATGAACGTTTTAATGCTTCGTTTGGTAGAATTGGTTCAGCCTTGTGTAATTGATGCCATTAGGGGCTCGGATAATATGTGCTATGATTCAATCGAGATTGATTTACTAAGTTTTGAGTTAAATTCCTCGACCAAGTCTGATATATGCAAGTAAGTGAACCGGCAAGTATGATGTATGCAAATGCGTTTCTATAGTTCATCCGCGTTTTGTGGCTTTTGATATGCAGAAAGCTGCATGAAAAATAGGTTTCTCACAAAGACATTAGTAAATCGACGAAGCCATAGGTGGCTCCTATGGAAAAATGTAATCAAATGCATCGGTTTAAGAGTCAGGTTTCCCGCAAACATTTAGAACTAATTCGAAAAAATTTCGAAAATTGTAGATGCTTCTAGCGTTCAATCAATTTTATCCTATAAAACCTGTATCGACTGGGAATTGGACCGTGAATATTCTAGCCCTATCATCCCGAGTCCATTTCCTTTATGAAATATTTTCCTTATTTGCGGTGTGTCATGCTGAATATTTTATTGCGTCTTGTAATTAACATCTTAATTTCTTATGAATCAATTTTTTTCAATAACATTTGCTTGTCGTTTATTGCAAGCTAAACAAGTATACCACAAAATACGTTCTTTGTTTCTGTTTTCCTGATATTTATTATGTATGTTACTTCTATACAGCCTGGCTGATATGAAGTGTCCCATGATTAATTAATTAATTTAATTAATTAATTAATCCGCCCTGTACTTTTTTTCTTTATTTATCGTTTTATTTACTTCAAACGAAAAACATGTTTGCAAATCTTCAACTTGAAAAATGGCTGCATGCAAGTCACTTTGCACAAGTATACGTTGCGATCCCCGCTGAAGCGTTTCCTTGAGAGCCTCCAAACTTTCTTGTTTTTTTTAAACCAAATTTTTGTCTTCAAAATACCCCAGAAGGAGAAATCCATCGGGTTTGCATCCGGAGAATTTTCCTCCTCAGAAAAACAATGTTCGGTCACACGTGCAAGCGAAGCAACTCCTTTAGTTTTTGGACTCCAACTTTTCTTGTATAGCAGTAATTTCACTGTACTTTTCAGAACTTGTAAGACTTGATTTACTGAATTTTTAATATGTGCTGCATTTTATCAAGCGATATATGCAGTTCATTAGCCATTTTTCTTGGTTTTTGCGGTCCTTTTTGGGCAATATCCATATAGTTTTGCACTTCTTCCTTTTTTTTTTCTCTGGACTGTTCTTCTCACTTGAAAACGTTTGAACTGATTAACGACGTTCTTCTGAGATTTCGCAGCCAAATAAAGACCAATTAAATTGCAACCTTTGAGTTCCATAGCATAAAACTTCTTATCTATTCAACTCAGAATAAAATGCTTTTAAGCGTATATAAATAATGTAATTGGATACCATCAGTCCAATTTGCAGACATCTACCGCTATTAGTTAGAGCATTAGTATTAACTATTAACTAACTATTAGTTAGAGGACACTTCATATCAGCCACCCGCCATTGTTGCTTCCATCGAAAATTTAATCAAACGAATCTGTTTAATCTGAGGATCCACGCAAATATTTAAATCTATTTGGAAAATTTGTCGAAGGTTGCATAATCTTTGCGATGTTTTGAGTAGTGTTTCTAGTCAATTTTGCTCCTCAATATGTTTTTTATTTTCAGAACGCTACATTCCTATAGAACCTGTATCGACCTGGAGTTGGATCGTGAATGTTCTAGCGCTATCACTACGAGGACATTTTTCAAGTTTTACGATATTTGGACCAGCAAGTGCATAAATCAATGACTCATTTAGGGGAAACAGCCCCTTTCATTTGTTTTATCTTAATTTAGATTGAATAAATAATCCATTACGTTGAGTGCGTGTGGGGCGAAGAAATACCAACATCCCAAGGAGTAAAATTGTATTACGTCATACATATCTAATTAACCATCCGAATTGTCGCCATAACATTGTTGCAATGGTACATGACTAGATTATTTCCTAAAACATAAATAGTTCAAATACAGTTGAGTCTTAAAACTATAACTGGTAACAATGTTTTCTACGGCTACTGAGGAATCAAACAGCAACTGCTGGGGATTCACTATGGAATAGAGAAAATCAGATATGTTGATCCAAATTAAGCGATAATCGCATCTAATTTTGGAAATATATATCACAGATTGCGAATTTATGTAATTATTTGCATTTCCAGTTAATATTTAGACGTTTTACTGATCTGATTTTGATTGGAATTTAAATGAGCCGAAAAAGAGTTTTGGCAATTTGACATTGTACTGTGTATTTCCTTTTGTTTCCGTTAAATTGTTTGACTTTAAAAACACACAACATTGTATCAAAAGGGATTGGCTTTTGATATGCTGTGTGTGTGCGGCCATTTCTTGAAACTGGCGAGGTGGCGGAAAATAGTTTATTCCTGCCTTTTGCAAGCCACACATGCTTTTCCACCACAGCCTAAAAACACAAAAATTTCACCAGTTTTATCAATATTGTCCTTGTAACGCCAATAAAATTCTCCATTAGCACCATTCTTCAACTAAATATGGATCATTTTCTACAGAATTAGAAAGTCTTATATCATATGTCCTATATAGCTTTACATGTTACACAATATGATATATTTTAGATGCATATCTTACTTAATGTAGAGTTTGGCATGGATCAAAAGTGTATGTACACTTTTGTGGAAAATTCGAACTAAGTGTCGCTTTTGAGCAATTCGACGCTGAACGAAGGCGAAAAAGCGCAATTATGAAATATAATTTCTGTAAACATATAGAGATCATAAATACTTATTGTAAATAGTCTTTGGCAAGTACGTCTAATAACAAATAGTCAAGGCACGTGGAAAGAATAATTGGTTAAAACTATGCGTAATTTCCCAAACGAATCTGATGATCTTCAATATATAATATTGTGGTTAAAATGCAGGAATTATCTATAATTTCAACCAAAAATCCCATAACGATAACATTAAAGTCTATATACAGTAACAATATTTCTTCAAATTTGCATCAGAGACGCAATGACTATGTGTACTGTAATAATCTAGCCTACTAATACTTCCAGTTTTGAACGTGCTATTCATAATATCACCATTAAAACTTACAGTCGCTTCAAATACTGCTTTAGGGTTGGTCTTTAGAATGACCAGGATATACGACGTGTTTTTGTAGGAAAACTTGTGCGACAGTCGAGTCGTAATTCCACTTACTGTATATTTGGCACATTTGCTTCCACCCTCTTTGGTCGCCACCTGTGCATTAACAGCAGCTACTATCACTTTAGCTACTTTTTTCTCGGCTGCAGGCTGCAACTTCGTCTGTGTGTATCCCGCACAAGTACACCAATGGTCTGTAATACGCGCATCTTCACACGATCGTTCTTTGGGTATCTCTTCAAAAAGCGACTTGCATCTTGGACAAGCATTGCTTGGACTGATCGTATGATTCAATCCTGACATAGTGAGAACGTGCTGGAGCGTCATATGTAGATCATAGGGCGTTGTGAGTTTGTCAGTGTTTTTCTGGAAGTTTCCATATTCCCTTGGGAACCTGTCTTTAAACCAGGGCGGGAAGGAAAAGTAGATGAAGGGCAGTCGCTCTTCCAGCCATCCAGTTTCGGTGGTTCGAATGTCACCAAATCGAATCCCATGGTCGCTCAGGAAAATGATGATGGTGTTGTTGGTGACACCTTTGTGGTCCAAATCGATCAAGAAGCCTCTCAATTTATTGTCCATCATTGTTGGCGTGCTGATTTCGTTGTGGCTGAAACAAAAGCTTTGGATGATTTTAACACATTTGGATAAATATACAGACGTGTAGAGGAAATGGAGGTTTCAGCTTGGGTTTGGGTCATGCGTTCAAAGCAAAACTCGCAAAGGAACGCAACGAAGACGATTATAATCAGATTCTTGGAAAATCGCGAAAAAATCAACCAAATGTTACTCAAAAATCAAAATTGGTTGTTCAATAGTTCTTGATGCGCTTGTAAATAGTCTCTACTGAAACCAGTATCTTTTGAGGTAAAAAATGATTTCTAGGGCCTCTTTTCATAAAAAAGACTTTATGGGTCAGCTGCACTTGAACATGTTGCGGATCTAAATTTTAAAAGGCGTGAAAAGCTTCTAAATCAGCTGTTTATTGCCTCAGTGTTGAAACTTCCTGGATTCAGGCGAAAGTTGTGCCGAGCTCTTTGGGTACGACACTGTTTGAGACGAAGAAAGCAAACACTTACTAATGGACGGTGTTTTGCTGCTCGGCTCTCAGTGTCGTGAACGTTTTCCTCAAATTAACCGCCGTAGCCGATGTCCAAATCAGCGACGAACAAAACGTCCCGAATTAAAAACTTTTTCTGGCGGCATTTACAATGTAGTTTACGATTTGAAACTGTTTTAAAAGTATTTGAGAAAAACCTCGTTCCATGCATCCAGGCGGGTATTTGTTCACAAACCTGTCGGCAGACGGCGTATTTGTGGTTCATTTTTAAAGTGTGCTCCTCAAAACTTTTTACGTAACGCGTAGTTATACTCTCCTTGGGGAGATTCCAAATCGGCCGATTCTTGTACCGAAAAATGTGCAAACATCCAAGGAAAACCGTTAATGAATTCCGCACAGATTTTGCATGATTTCGAACATTTTCAGACACTCCATATTAAATCACAGACTTCCGATACAATATCGGATCCAAACATTGTAATAAACAATGAAAAGTCATGTTCTGAAGTGATAAAACTCGTTCTTCTTGCAAATATCTCACGATGCTTGCAATCCTTTTCAACATGTTTAACTTCAACTAAGCGAATTTTTCATTGTTAATATCTTACCTGAAAGTGTTCATCCAGAAGAACCCAAAATGGGGCTGATTCTTGAAGGTAACGCCAAACTCCTTGACCAGATTCAGAATTCGTTCACCAGCTGTTTCTGGTCCTGTGCAATATCCCATTGAACTGACCGACACTTTATTCAGCCTTTCGGTTGCCATTATATAAGGGCGGAAATAATAATCGGTTGGAGAAGATACAAACCCTGGAAGAGCCAGATTACGCCCAGACCATCAGCATATTTATACAAAGAAGGCATCAAAGTACTGACCCTTTTTGTTGAAATTAAAAGTGCTGATATTGGCTTCATCTTCGGCATAAGCTGTAACATAGGAAAAGTCCCTGTACTTGTACCATAACATTGGACATTTGTCCAGGAAGCCCATGGTTTTGGGTTTGCAGATCGCATAGGCAGTTGTCTGATTAAAGCCTGCAAAAATCAACGCATTTCGTTGGAAGTTTCGTATTGACTTTCCTGAACCAACCCGTTAGTATCGCCATAAGATTGGGGAAAGTATTGTCATCGATTTTATTGTACCCTTTCAAGGATATCCAGCCATTGTTCTCCACATACTTGCAAGTTTTTGGTAAAGCTCTAATAAAATTAAGCCTGGAAATGCTGTCGATGCCGACGAAAAGGACACTCAACGGTTTAATCGTACTATTGTCATAGAAGTTAATTTTGTTCTGGACGTTACTGGTTATTCTAATAGAAGTATGGACGTTTTCGTAAATTTTCTCTTTTGTATTGTGTTCAATGCAACGAACGAGGATCGCCTCCTTTGAAATCGTCACGTTCTTCTCAAACTCTGTGCACGTGGTCAACCTACAATAACAAATCTGTAAACTCAAAAGTTATCGGCCAGTTCAAAAGCGATTTAGGACAGTGTTCTTACTGAATAGAATCGTCCCGATTTTTCATTGGTTTGCCTCTGGATACATCTGAGTAGCAGCAGGATATGGTGCTTTTAGTGTATTGAGGAATCAGCTTAGCATCCACGTGAACTGTTGCAATATTGTCTTCTTTCGTCACATAAGTTAGCAAAGGGATTTTGGTGCATCTCTTGTATTTGCTGGGTTTGAGGAATTGTTTAGCATCAGAGGAAAAGGGATCTTGGTTTTTTATTTTGCATTTTGAACTGGATACTAGATAGGAGCCCTCATCTGCAATTGAATTAACTGGCTTTACGTGCTGTGTTTTAAAACGGAATAAATCACTAGGAAGAATACTTACTGTTTAAGTTTGCTGCATTAGAATCCTGCTCTACTGGATGAGTAGAAGCTGAAATTGCAAATATTTATGTAATATGAAAACATGCACTTCACAACAGTTGGTCACCTTGTTGGTGTTCCTTTAAACCCTGCGTTGTTTTTCTGTTGGTTTCTAAAAATCAGGCAAATAAGTCTGTAAATTCACGCCACGAAAGGTTTTCTATTAAGTACCTTCAAGGTTTTTCACTTTCCAAGTAGTCGTATCCTGATGTGAAACACTGTTGGTCTCTGAAAACATTCATCTGTTAGACTGAATTTTTGTCACTAGCCAAACTAATACCGTGTGTGCCTTCTTCCTGCAAGTCCTCCTGTTCAAACCTGCTGTCTTCTGAAAATATACATCATCTAGTGTTTTAAAGCGCTTTAAGATTTGAATCTTTACCTTCCACATGGCCACCACGGAGATTCTTTGCTGCTGTTTTATTGACAACTGAAAAGGGAAATAAAATTGAAAGCCATTAAAAGATTAAGTGTTAGATGCTCTAAAAACCGCTAGTTTTTCGTAAAACTCCCGTTGAAATGTATTATTTTTCATGCAACTTGTGTGTGTTACGTGTGTTCTTGTTACAACCAGTGTTGTAACTTTATTTTTACCTTTGCCATAATTTTTTTTGTTTATTCGAAAATTTGATTTTTGAGCGCACAATAAGTTTTTGCTGTATGTGTATCTCGATCTTATAAATTCCTTCATTTCGCTTTGGCCTATTTTATGCTTCATTTTTGCTGGCCATTGAGTCCTGGCTAGGACCTAAATAGCAAACCCTTCGGATTCATTCTGCGCTTGAATTTCTAAAGCAGCACTTATTTTAAGGATTGTAAAGATATGGAAAATTTGTCTACTTTTATTAAATAATTTAAATAATTTTTTGTTTGCAATCGCGAATAATCTAGTAAGTACAGCTGGATTTTTTTAAAGGTTAATACAACTCGGTCGAAGCCAAGAGAAGCGAAGTAAATAAAATGGATTCAAGGTTCAAGTGAAATAAACAGTTAAACTGTACATATTTTTCTGTTCAATACCTATTTTTAGTCAATCTGTCAGTGAATTTCCAGATTATTAAATGCAGCGTAGTTTTCTTATACAGTTTCTATTTGCTGCGATTTAAAAAGTGTAGACTAATAGAGAATAATCCGCAGGAAAAAACAGTGTACAGAATTACAACAACTGCGTAGCAAAATGATGTAATAAACTACCTATAATTGGGTGAATTTAAAGATGTTCTTGTCTAAAAATTAGCCAAAAAATGGCCTTTAATTGAATGAGTGCTTTATTGTTTATGCAAATAGGATAATTAAGTTTTACTAACCTTCTGTGTGATTATTATCAGTTGACTGGTTTCCGGGATTCAAGCTGGAATTTATTAGATATTGGTATTTCAACACGGTGGCATAGTCGTAGTATGAAATCGTGAGCAGGATGCTTCCAGAAATAAACAAAACGAATATCATTTTCTTCCAAAGGCCGTTAAAAGGAAAGTGATTCATGTTTATGCCTGAAAAAAAATTAATTAGCCAGGGAATGAATGAATTATGTAAAATATGGGACATCGCCGGAAGAGCCATTAAGTAATTTTAATATTTAATAACACATTATTGTTTCTTAGGCTGTTTTTTAATTATTGCTCTCTTATCATATTCATCTAGAACTGACCAGAATTCAAATTTTCTAATTATCTCTCACCTTCCTAGTTTGAAATCGTTTTTGTCATTTGGGATCTATGATTGTAAGTAAATAATAAGACCGCTCAATATTTAAAAGATTAATAATAATAATCTCTAATTTCATGATATGTGATGCATTAGCTACGACTTGTCTGGCAAATTTTTAGAGAGTTCTAGACCTTAAATAGTGTGTTATTTGAAAACGTTTGGCTGCAGAAGAATGTCGCTTAAAATGTACAAGATCGACTTTGCATTTATCAGTTATTTGAACTGAACATACCCAGTTAATGGGTCGAATTTCCCATTTTTTTGCTTTAAACTGCGTGTATTGAAATTGAATTCAAATTGCCTAAATTATCCAACATTTTTCCACCGATGACTTGAAAATCCAAGAAAAATTGATACTAAATAAAAGTCTAACATATTTGCAAGGAAAGTATCACCGTCTTCTACAAACACAATTTAAGCCAAGTCGCTAGAGTTTTGTAATTCTCGCAGAAAAAGTCTAACGGGGTTACATCGGATCAATATGCAGGACTGGATGATTAGAACACGCTTGGAATATTTTAGGTTCGAACCTAACTGGAAGATATTAAAGGAAGACATGGTTGAATTCGAAATAATTTCGAAATTTAGTCTAAAAAAATTTATCCATTACCATCATATCCAAGAGATATCTACACAATTTCCCAATGGGTCCAAATGAGCAAACAACTATTTCTTTCCACTTGTGTATTATTTTTGCTTTAAAATTTTTGAATTTGGTTTTTATTCCGTACAAAGTCTGTGTACACATTTTCAGTGCTTAAACTAAAAAGCCAAATTTAAGAAACACTATGGGAAATAAGAAATAGAATAGCTTTTCGAAGAATTCGCTTGACTGACAATAAAAATTACCCACAATTAATCAACTCTTTCTATACTGATTGGAGGCAATAAAATAACGTATTGATAAGCGCAACGTAAGATTGAACCTTTGCCAAGATATTGCTAAAAACAATCAATACCGAAGAAATATCTACGAATAATGTGGTAAACACTGACAAAATGCGAATACCTTTAACAGTCCGCATGATCTTCTATTACCATAAAAAATCTGAAGATCCGCAGGTTGCTGAAGCTGCACGCACTTCTAAAATCCACAACCATCTTATTTTACTTTCAGTAAGAATCACGCAGGTTGTTTTATTTATATTGCCATTCAGTCTCAATCAGGGATATATTGGGTGTAGCTTTCTATGGGGCAAAATAGAGACAGGCATCAGCTAAAGATAACTGTGCCGGAGGAAGGAGTGATGAAATTCTGGAATATCAATAAGGGGATTCTGCGCGTAGATCGGAGGGTTGATAGCTTTAAAAGCTCATGCGGAAATGTACAGGGCGGATTTTGGGAAAGCGTCCAAGTTTTTGCTACTTTCTTTCTTTAACTTGTGTTTTTTGACTTAGATAATGGGTGTTTTTTTTGAGGCGCTTTGATGAAGTTGTTTTCTCCTGTTCATTTCCTTTGCCTATTAATAACGACAGGATTATATTTGGTTTGAATTAATGGTCCTTTCAGCAAAACTGTAACATTTGTATTTCTCTTGCGTGTTTCCTTCCGGACTAAAATTGGTTTTTCAGCATTTCACAGAATAGTTAGGAATGCAGATCTCAATCGCCTTTCAACAAAATGTGATACCTTTCTAATCAACCTTCATTAATAACCAGAAAGGAGGAACTCTTGTTCAACACTCGCTGCCACAGTCGGCTTACATGCGTCACATGTATCAATCCAGTTCTGGAAACTTTTCCAGTTGGAACTTGACTCCTGAATGCTAATTATCCTCACTTTTTACCTTGGTTTTCTTCATTAAACATATAAGAATTTTTGCGCTCAAATTGCTGCAGCTGGTGATGTTTTATATCGGTGAGCTATAGTAGATTTCCCACTTTAATCTTCTGAGCTCCAACAAGGATTTGGATTTTCTGCCTTTATCTGTTCACCAACATTTACTTTCGCGTTCGTTTATTTATTGTTATTTTCCAAAATTCCTTTTGAGTCTATGTTTTTAGATTTCTTTGCTTCTGCATCTTCTTTTGTTTCTTCGCATTCTCCTACATTTCCTTGACTGGTTTTACCCTGCGTTACTTCTTCAAAGCTCTTGCCGTTTTGCATGCCATTACATTTTCCTGTGTGTTTGCCCCTACTTCTTTGCTTGCTTCCGTGTATTTTTTAATGATTTTGTCCAGTTTAAACACGAATTATTTTCTCAAAGATTTCATTCTTCTTATTTAAGCATCAGGAATTTATCAAAGTAGGTATAAATAACTTTGTGTTGCAGTATCTTTACGTTTATTGTAACATTTTATAAAATTTCTTACTATTTAAATATTTTTCTCGTCTACTTTATGTAGAAGGAAAATGCTTTTACAGCCCAAGGCAACATTTTAACGTTGCAAAGTTGTTAGTTGTTGAGAACATTTTTTTCTTTTACTCTAGTTTCATTAGATCCATCTTCGTCTTTCAGGTGTCCGGCCGGTTCTTCTGATCTCAGTCAGATGTCGAATATTTCTGAGCCACGATTCCTGCATCTTTTTTACTCTTAATACTCTTCGGCACCCTTCAATCCTGCCCTTGAGTATAAGTTAGAAACGACGATATTTATCACTTCTCAAGATATGTTGAAGACATGATGTCATTCCGCTGGTTTATCGATGTTTGTACTTTGTAGAGCATTTTGATTTGTAACATGTTATATTCACGGAATATGGATAATTTGTGATGTGTCTTTTATGGTCCAAGTATTACTTTATTTTTGTATCTTTTTTAAATCATCTTCTAAATTTGATTTTTGATTAACCATCCATTAAATTCCAGAAAGGGAATTTCTCAAATATGTCGGTTTAACCAAATTTTTGAGTAGCCCATTTTTAGTATTTGCTGCATTAATAGAGAAGATAAAATTAATTCTGAATCAATATTACCAGAGATTGCCAAATACAACATTCATTTTTAAAAGGGGTTTAAAGGAGGATTCATTTGCTTGTCTTTGTAGCCCCAGCTTTTAATGTATTTGCTAGTATCCTTGTAACGATTATTGTTTGTTGCCTTCAACGCTTCGCTAGTAGCTGCCTCAAAAGGTATTGGATTTGAAGCTCTGAATTTGTCTGTCATATATCTGATCCACATCTTCTTTAGGTGGTGTTCTCATGAAACTAAATGGCTTTGATTATTTGCACGAGGCACGAGTGTTCTCATGTTTTAGATTCCAATCACTTTCTTTATTTTTCTATTTTTTTCTACTTCTGAGCATTCTCTCTTCATCCATCTGGCTTGAAATCTTCGATTGTTTTTCTTATGAACTTTTTTTCGTGTTCTTCTGGTTAGTTCTTCGTCAGTCCTCGACGGTTCCCGAGATTCATAGTGTGATCGATCAACAACTTATGTTCCGTCTTAAAGTTTCTCGAAGATGTAATTTGCATATTCCTACAATAATATACCTTCGGGATTGTTCTTGTGTAAGCTTGTTAACTTATGGTTTACTTCTGCTCCAATTATTTGGCTGACTCTCTGAGTTCGTTTTGTCGTCTTTCAGTTTAGTCACCGTCCAGCGACAAAAGGGTTGTGCTCCAAGCCAATTTACCGTTTTTAATTGTATATTTTAGACGTTTTTTAAAGAGCATGCAGTCGATTTGATTTCTTGAACTAAATTATGGAGCTTTCCAGACCAATCAGTTGCAAATTTGGCTAAATAATAAGTTTTGAGAAGTGCAGCATCTTTCATCCATCAACTAGGTGTTTTCCTACCTTTATCGTGTCTTTCTTAATTTCTTCCCTCATCTTTCAAACCGTCAGCAAAGCCCTAAACCTGTGATCTGTTTTTCATATTATTTATGCAACTCTGATCAGTATAATAAACACTTGTATTATTTACACTGTTACGCTTTTCTAGTCATTAATTTCACAATTTGTTACTACTTTAGCAGAGTCCGAGGAAGCAACAAAATTAACAACATGAGTCACCGTAAGTAGCAAGACGATGTTGTTTGATTTTGTCTAAATGAAATTAATGACTAACAAATTAGTATAGCTTTACTTCTATGTGTTAAACTCAACGTTTTTTCGCACATTTTCATGTGAGAATTTAATTGACAGATCCGTGATTCTTTTGCCATTCAATGCCGTAAAATGACCTCTGAGCTTATCCCACGTAAATAATGTTACGATGTAGGTTAATGCAATCATACCTTGTCGGAAGATCAGTAAGTTTTTTGTTATACTACAAAAAAAAATTGTTTTTATGGTTGATGAATTGATGTGATGCGTCCAACAGAATTATATACATCCTCAAACTTTTTCTCAAAATATTTACTTTCAAGATTGTTTGATAGCTAAATGGCTCATAAAAACTAGAAAAACATATATGCTCTTTGTGCGTTCAAATATTTTTTTACTGTTGCTTTTTTCGCTCTATATAGTTCCATCCTTAATACATCAGGCGATAACTAGGAAAATGTTTCAAAACCAATTTCGTGGAATCCAAGTAGTTACTAACGTTTTGACAGTAAGAATTGTTTACATCTTCAAATGTGAAAAGAATTAGAAACCGCAGCACGTTTAGCTCTGGATATGAACTATTTATCCACTTTTCTCCTTCGAAAATTTTTCATAGTCTGGTAGTTGTACTGTTTGATTTCTAAGGCATTTGTTGCGCATTTCATTATTGAAAAGTAGAATTATTTAATTGTTTTGCTCTAATAAAAAGCATATAATTTCTTATTTTTATTACACATTACATAGTTCAAAATTTTGCCACTGGTTTCCCTATGCATTTTTTTTTTGATTTAGTTAGTTTACGATTTTTTCAAGTTTCTCCAACGATCGAATTGCCTAATAAATATTTGCTCTGATGGCTAGAAAATTGTATAATCTTTGTATATATTTTACTTTGTTTTTCCATTTTATAGTTTTATCCTTCGCCACGCTAACTTGCAGCTATTAAGCGATAAACAGCAATAAATTAATGTTTTATCTGCAGATACCCTTGGAATAAATATTCCTTCACTGGTAGTAATTGTTTAAAATATCTTCAAGTTCGCACTGGCAGCAGTAAACAAATATTAAATCTTCACAAATCTATGCACTTACTATTTCCCAGCCATATTCCGTCTGGGCGTTTACCAAAAATACAAGCTGTGCATCCAAAAGCAACACTTTCGATTCACATATTCGGACAATCACTTTCTACTAACACACTGCCCAACATTTGCACAATTATTCAATCTATTAATAGATGTATGGATCTAATATTGGCACAAGGAACTAATTGCATAAAATTCAAATTGCACTGCTTTATATAGGTGTAATCGACCATAATTCATGCGGTTTAATACTAGCAAGGAAAGTTTATTATGCTTAATTGGTACTTCATTTTTTTTGTCTTCGGACGCCTTAGTTTCAAAATCAGATGAATTACATTAATATTAGCAAATGTTAACAAGTGAATGGATTTTTTAAAGAGGTTGCGCCTTGTGCCGCAGTTGAAAACTCCCGTATAAAAATGACTCTGATTCTTACCTTAAAAAACCTTTCTGCGTTCTGAAGGAGCACTCTGAAAGCTGGAAAGCGACCGTACATTTTGTATGCTCAATGCGACTAATTGTTGATAATAGGAGAAATATCAATATTCTTCTAATCACTTCACAACTAGATGCTTTGTTGAAAAAGTGTAATCACTCGGAAGCCAGAACACACTTTGTGGCTTGCCGTGGTATCTATTAAACGCCCACAGTTCTAATAATTTGCACTATTGTTGACATTCACTCAAACGCCTCTTATGTTTGAATGCTTGCAATGTTACGAACGCTTCTGGATGTTTTGCCATGGAAAAATTAAATTCATACTTTCATACTTTACTTTAATAACCGCCAGTTTCATGCTTTCAGGTGGCATAAATTGATAAAATTGAGAACTAGCCAATATCAAAGAGCGTAAGCTGCCGCTGAATATTTGGTTCTATTTATTTAGAATTTATCTCCAATTATGTGCGGCGGTTGATATAATGATGATTTAACTCATATATTGTTCGTGTTTTGTCTTTTTATTTTATACAAAAAACTATTACCTGGCTGCATTTAAAGTTTTTCATTTAAACAATTCTCTCCTGAGACGTTTGAAAATTAATACAAAAACATTGATACTACTTACGTTTAAAGTAAATCCTTGAATTTTTAGTCAAATTAATAATCAGCCACTAATTCCAGTGATCGCTGGCCCTTCACCACATAATATCTGATCTTCAAGCGCACACTTTGTATTTTATACACTCAACCAGCACCTCGTATGCAAAAAGACGTACAAGGGGATGTGCAAAAGTGTGCCACCTATTGAACGTTAAATTTATCAAAAGATCACGTTCGTTACTTTAGCATTGACTTTGCTATTGCTTAATGTTCCCAGTAAAATAAGGCTGCAATTAAAAGTGGCTTATCGAAATCCCTTCTGAAAATTTAGCTCTTTACCCTATAAAGAACTGCAACATTTCAGCCACTAACGGAACTTTCCAGCCAAATAAGGTCCAAAATTTTTTGTGTAGACAAAACCATCACCTTATCAAATCTCTGATTCTCGTCAATTTATACGTATAACACATGGTAACTCCTTGGTCGCCCCTTGAAGATAATGTGCTTATCGAAAATCCCCTTGGGAATATTCACTATGATATAAAAAATAAGGTTTTTCCAAATAAAAAGTGATCCGTTTTAAGTGCGAAACTAAACTTTTGAATGGTAACCAGGCGAAAGTGAAAAATTGCAAGCAATTGTTTTATTTACCTAAACATTAAGTCGTTAATATCAATTAATTCCTCAGATCGTGGAATTTGATAATTTTTTTTTCGGATAGGTTACGCATGCCGTTAGGTCTTCTTCGCACTTCTCAATATTTTAAGTGATAATTAAAACATTTTATTCTTTTTAGTCTGGATTGATTAACTGTTTAATTATTCAATGTGTTAGCACTGCCCGATATACTTTTTTGTTTCCTTTGATGCTTTCTTTAGTGCGGTGATTATTGCTTTGGATAATTTTTTATTCCAAGAATTTTAGTAGGTAGCTTAATTTTAAATCGAAGAATATTTTGTTTCTTTAACACTTTCAGAGGTGAACCAGTTAGAAACCGCCACACGAAGAGCTCTGGATATGAACTGCTGATTGTTGTCTTTATAACCAACTTTGAAAATATTTAATTGTTATTATTTAGAAAAATGTAGTTCATCGTCTGATAGTTCGTTTAATTGTATTTTACTATCATTGTCTGGCGTTTTACTTTTGAAGAACCATATTTTATGTGTGGATCGTGTGCTTTAAAATTGGTCTTCCAACAATTTTGTGTTATTTTCATTTTTTCATGTTAGTTTAGCATTTTCTTGTAGCGTTTGATGTATTAATCCTTTGGTATCTGGAAAGCGAGGGACATGAGGATGATGTTGCCATAATTGAACATTAGAACAGTACTTTATGGCAAATGAGCCACTTTGTATACTGGGAATGGCATGAGATTTCCTAAAACCTAAAAATTTGCTTTATATAGTGGGCTTAAGTCTGATGAACGATACATCTAAATAAGCGACCAAAGTGCCGATTGAATTCAATAAAAACTGTTTGGAAAGGTTTAATTTACGATTATCAGGAATCAGGATTCAGTCTATTTTATCAATAAACTTCTATACAATTTAGCAAAACGCCTAACTTTACTCTTTTGTTTGTCGAACTAACAAATATTATTGGTGCTTGCTTATTGAATGTGTACTTTTCTTAATTTTTACTGGCAAAATACTTATACTACAAATCTTACAAAATCTAAGTAAGGAGCGAATTAGATGTCGTCTGATAAAATGAAGAATAGGCTTATATTCGTTGATAGGGATTTGTTGAGTAAGGAAACAATGAAACAAAAACTGTTGCAATAATACGTACATGTTCATTGTTTGATCTTATTATTAATACATATTTTGTAGCATCGACGTCACTTGATATATCTTAATAAAAAAAGTGAGGCTTTTGAGCGGAAAACTCTGTTCAAAAATTCTTTTTTTGGCGGCCTTGTCTTTGGAGATCCAAAAAATGTGTTGGTTATTTGAGTTTCGGAACAACTTTTTTCAAATTTCCAAAATATGATTGATGCAAATCAAGTTAGATCATAGGCAGCATTCGTTATAAGCAAGTAAATTAAACTGAAAAGTTGTCGGCTTTAAGGCTCTGAAGTTTTTGTTTATGTTTTTAGAGAAACAGCTCTCATAAATAAAAATAAAATGTTGCTATAACCATCGTTCAGGGCTTACAGCGAAAAAACAAGCCATTTTCTAAAACAGGACTTGTTTATTTCCAGTCACTTTGTATATTCAACAATTTGCTTGAAGATGGCTAGCAGAGGCAAATAACGATATTTTTGTGAGATATCAGAATAAACAACTGCAATACATTTGAGGAAAGTTAATTAAACTGAAAATATGAGATATTGATCATACCAGCATGGCAGCAGTTACAATTGCACGATAAGAACGTTGCACGTTGCAAACTAATTATGATAAAATCGCACATTTGCCATGAAAAATGCAAATTTTCAAAGAAAAATCGTGAGTTCACTATTAAATGTATTCATTCATACGATATTTACATGAAACCTGTCATGATTATTTTCATACTTCCCTTCCGGGAATTTTCAAAGTGAAACAAATGGGCGTTGTAGAGGTCATTTTCAAAGCAAATCATCTTGAGCAAGAATCTGCCTATTGTTGTAATCAAATTGATTAGTTTTCGTAGAAATAACAAATATATTTATTTAGATGCTGGTGCGATTGAGATTTGCACTGCAAAATCGCAAAAACCGAGCTTCATCCCAAAGGAAAAGAAATTGAGAAAAATTAAGTAACAACGACTTGAAACATGAACGTGAACGCAATAAATTATTGACGTTCATCCTCTAATACCGCATTTTTCTATGACTCGTTATATTTTCCCCAAATACTTCTCCTCCAGGTATTTTACTTAAGGATGCGTTAATTTTTTTGTGTCTGGTCACCGTTCTCATAATGAGATCATACGCGACGTGATTAGTTGAGAAGAAATAATAATTCCTCCTGGCAGGCGGGATATCAAAAAAGTGAAACCGTGTCAAAAGCCATCGAGAGATCTAACTAAAGGGCAGGAATACAAAAAGCAGGTTTGATTAATAACTAATATTTATTCAGTACTATTTTCTGTGAAGTTCGCATTGCAGGTGCACCATATATCCGGAATACCTAAAAAAATCAATCATGGAATATTAACTTAAATATGATCACCAACAGCGCGTTTAACAACTTTGTCTATACCAAATCTTTAAATTTTAACCAGTTTCCCCCCAAATATCAAAAACGTGTTACCTGCTTCTGCACAGCTTCGTTCATCCGGAATCTTCTCAAAAAATGACCTACACTGTAGGCAAGCTTTTGCAGGCGTCATTGTGTGATTAACTCCTGATAACTGCAGCACATGCTGCAGGGTCATATAGAAGTCATAAGTACTAGTCAATTTTTCTGAGTTGGCTCTAAAATTGGCAAATTCCACTGGAAATTGCTGCTTAAACCACCCAGGCACTGATATATAATTCATTGGCAGTCTCAGCTCGTAAAATCCCTGTCTGGTGTAAATCATATCCCCAAACCTGATGCCATGGTCGCTCAATAGGACCACAATGGTCTCATCTAGAATACCAGAGCTTTTGAGGTTTTGGAAGAACATTTTAACATCCAAATCCATAGTTGTGGGCGTGGCAATGTAATTATAGCTAAAACTGTTCATCCAAAATAGTCCAAAACTTGGCAAATGCTTGAATGCTTGTGCAAAGTCGTAGGCAAGGTTCATGATACGATTTCCTTTAAAAAAAAAACTTTTTTATTTAAAGTGCCCAAGTTCCCTTCTATAATGTTACCTTGACTCTCTGGTCCAGCACAGAATGGCATGGTGTCTTGATATTGCGTTTCCAAAAGTATCAGGGCGTCCATGTAAGGTTTAAAGTAGTAGTCAGTAGGTTGCTCTTTGAAACCCTTTTTCAAATAGTTAAAAGTTGCTATTTGCGACCAGTCTTCTGCATATGCGGTAACAAAGCCCAACTCTCTGAACTGCTTCCTACAAAAGCCTCGTTTGATCTAGAACTTTTTTAACTTAAAATCTCTTTTTTTACCAAATGAATGGACAGTTGATTAAACCATCCAGTTCCTTAGGCTTACAAATTTCCATCGAATCTTTATTATTGAACCCTGTTAATAAAGCCATGGCATTGGGAAATGTGTTGTCAGCCACCTTGTTATACCCCGTGAACTCATAGAAGCCATTATTTCGTATGAATTCTTTAGTGAGGTTCATCGTTCTGTGAAAGTTCAGCCTGGATAAAGAATCGATTACTATCATCAAAACACTGATAGGTTTTGTCGTACTGTTTTGGATCAGTTTTTGGGTTTTTTCACCAACTTCTTCAGAAACAGTGATTACTTGATGGACATTTTCATACACCGGGTAAAACTGCTGTTGGCCGAAGCTACTATTCAGTGCTTTACAGGTCACTTTGACTAGATGGTGTTTTAATTCAACGGAATTGTAAAAGTGTGTACAGTAGGAAGCTCTGAAAATGAAACAACTATTATATGCTGGCAAATCGATGCAATTCTTGAAGTACTTAGATAAACTCTTTGACTTAAAAAACAACCAAAAATCAATGCAAAGCAAGTATTGTTTCCACTTACACAACTCCTACATCTGGATACTCTTCGAACCCACTTCTGTGTAGGTAGCTGTAACAGCAGTGAATATCAGAAGTTCCAAATTGTTCATCAGCCTCTTCTCTTCGTAGACGAAGCCAAGATCTGCCTGCATGTGTTGTGGTGTAGCTGAACAGTGATTGAAATCGGGAACATTCAATTCGGTTGTAATGTGTGAAGCGAATCTCTGAGGAAAAGACTGGCAAATCGGGAATTTTGCATTGATTGTTGTTAATTAGGAAACGTCCTGAAATTAAAGACTGTAGATTGGAAGGTTTATGATGAAAAAAGCCAAACATCATGCATGTTTTAAAATCAACTCTTACCATCGTCTGTTAGGGCTTTGGAATAAGGCTTGAACCACATCCATATGAATACAAGTGCGGCTAATTTAGGATCCATTAAGTTCAAGATTCTGCAATATGCAAAATCAAGATCAGAAGAAATGTGGTCAGTTCAGAAACCGCAGCACAAAAACACACATTACTCAAGTAGTAGATGAAGTATTCATCCACCACTCAGATAACAGAAAACATAAAGTCTCGATTTAACTGAAAAGCAGCCGCTTATGAGGTTACAATTAGTTGATTACATAGTAGGTACTATCATATTCAAAAATATGATTGAATATTTTGAAAATTATCTCTGGCTAACGATGTTTTATGAAAAGGTCAAGTTTGATTTCACAGTGAAGATCATTCACTTAAAATTGGATGGAATGTTGCAACATGTGTTCGTGTTTAATAGGGTTTCTATCAAGTATTTACTATGTTATAATTTCTTGCAGATTGTCAGACTTATCGATAGTTCAAGGATGAAACCCTGATCCAATTATGAGCATTCTATTGAGCTGCAAGTAGGCTTGAACATTTTGGCAAAAAATGTAGATATTGTCGTAATTTTTGTTAAACAATTGCTTTTTCTTGTTATAAAAAAATAAGGCAACTTTAGACGATTAGTTCCAGTGTTCCATTTCATTGTGATATTCATGTCTTCGATAAGATTARACACRAAAAACTAGTCAAMATTTTGCAAACAGAATTMMTCGACAAATGGSACCTACTTCCTRAAATGGAGGATTAATGGTAAACGGAAGATTATAAACAATRTAAGATTCGCKGACGACMCAGTTATTACAGCAASCTCMGCTGAAGAACCCTAAAGACTATTATACAGAACTKGTAYATTKTGCGAACAGTARGAACTAAAAATAAATATAAGAAATATCAAATATATCATAATAACGAAGAATGTAAAAATACAATCAATCATAAATTTATWGAACCAACAAATAGAAAGGRTTCACAAATACAAATATCCGGGCASCCGGATCACAGAAAATAGAGWCCAAACAGACCAGAAATAAGAACCAGAATAGACAGCGATATAAGATGCTTACATTGATCATGCAAGGAAAMATAAAGCAAAGATGGARCGTTGGTAGAAGGAGAATTTTAGGGTTGAGAAATTTGAGGGATTGGTTTGGTTGGTTCAATAGAACTTTTCAGACYAGCGGCAAATAAAGAAAGAAWAGCAGTGATGATATTTAATCTCCGATAGGAGACGGTASTCAAAGAAGAAGAAGAAAAKRATTAGKGGAMTGCACATATTCTCCACTAGATGATTAATCAAGCACTTTTCTTGAACTCCCACTTCGCTCATATTTTGCCCATTACCTTAATGTGYTTATGTGATCTTTTATTTTCGGTTTTCAAATATGCACCGAAATTCTTGGAAAATTACTTTACTAAAGCAAAGAAAAAATATTTTCATGTGTATTTTCCATTGCAGCTTCCAACGCGGATCATTAAACGCTTTTAAGGAGCGTTGATAAAGAGAAAGCAAGAACAAATCGGTGCAACTTATTCGAAGACAGTRAAATCTTCACTTYGTTCWAATATTGACTTSWAWTTTATTGAGTAAKWGMGWTWTTTACATGMWTGTTTWKMSCGACGTTCTWWAAATWCKATYTATCWMAATTGMGTTTYTAATTTGAGAAKAGCKWTTGCYGTGTTTCGATTCGATTSCTTCAGAAGTGTTCAAACGTTGGCACATCTTATTAAAAGTGAAATTAGGAACCCGAAAAATAAAAAAATACTGATCATTTTCATAAATGCTTTTTGATTATAATTCGGGCTAATTATAAGCATGAAAAAAGTATACAAGATGCTTGACCGAAATTATTTGGCTTTTTTTTTAGTCATCATACTAATAGGTTTTGTTAATTTTGATGTTTTCAATTTAACAAACCGAATAACTTTGAAAATTTTTGCAAACACCAATGCAAAAAATTGTATTTTAGGCTTTCTAGGGTTCTGTCTTTCCATGTGTTTTCATTCCATTGTTCCAAATGTTTTCATAACTAACTCCAAATATCTCGATCATTTCGTGGTCCATTTTCACTTCCAACATATCAAAATTGGAGGCATTTGTGTATTGCTTGTATATGGAAAGTCGTTTTGAAAAATTAATTGGCACTATAATTTTCCAATTGATCTTACACTAATTTCGTTATTAAACATATTTCTTCAAGTCCCGATTTCCAGTTATGCTAATTTTCAACTAGTTTTTAGATATTTGTTAATAAGCCAAGGAAATAATGATTAACACAAGGAATCGCCTGCATTGTCAAGGAGAGTAATTTATTAAATTTGTACTTACAATCTATACAATCTAACTTAAAAGTACGATCTTAGCACATTTTTACACTGAACCTAACGTAGTCTATGCAATCAAGTACAATAAATAAATCTATAAATACAGAATATTTGAGCCTGAGCCTTATACATTATTGCAACTCTAACCATACTTAAGTAAGTATACATCGGCCACTACATAGCTGGGAGGTAAAGGAATGTTTATATAAAAACAACTAACGTATTTTTTGGCATGGTACAGTTGAAATATGTCAGATTGGTGCACTATGATAAACTACTCCTTCCTTGTATAATTGGACAACCTAAAGAAAAAATATGTGCAGATAGTGAATGTCAATCAGTTTTGTAAAACTATAGTTCACTTACGACAAACGGAACAATGGCTTTCATCTGTGCCATCTCCACAACCATCCCGGCCAGAGCAAGCAATAGCAGTCGACCTGCATCTTCCGTTTCCACACCGTAATGGGCAATATCCTCGAAGACGTCTTCTGGCTCTTCCTCTGCATATATGGGCCGGCTCGTCGCTGCCATCGCTAATTGAGGTTTATTTTTAGTCTCGTCCCGTGCAAATCATGCGCAAAATTACCTGCAACCAATAATGGCATTGCAAAATTCATACTCCGGCAGGCATTTTCCATCGCCGCACTGGAAGGTGTCTGGAGGGCATTTGTTCTTGCCCAAAACGTGGCAGTTGGCTTCATCTTCACCTAAAGGTTCCCAAGTTTTTAGCGCATTGGCCTAAAGTAAGGGCTGAACAGTTTACCTAAGTGACAATCACGCACTCCATCGCATCTATTCGCTTTCGATATACACTTTCCAGTATCCCGACACCGGAAGGACTCATTGGGGCATTTATTCGGCCGGCAGTCTTCATCCGAACCATCCGAGCAATCCTTTCTTCCATCGCATACGAAGAACCAACTGATACAAGTTCCAGAGCTGCGGCACTGGAAAATCAACTATTTTTAAAAGCTTTTAAAGTTTGTGCTCGATTACTTGCCTGGAATGTTCCCGGGATGCATCCGGTATTTCGGGCGGAACAAGCGGTTGTTTCGTTGCCTTGCATAATGCAATCGCACACTCCTTCTATGCATTTGGATGATGGATCAGCTGCGCGACATTGCAGATCAGTAACGCAAGGAAGACCGAGACTGATTGCTTCACTGGATGTTTCAAATCGTTTACGGATTCCTGCTGTTGTGAATGGCGAAGCTGGGGAAGCTGGAGAAGCAAAATTGTATTGAAAATTTGAAGATCCAATCACTCTTAGTCAGAAAGTTCCGAATCTATTCGAAGAATACCTGTAGTTGATGTGGATGTTGTTTGACTTTGAGGTACTGGGGATGCAGTTGATGATGGTTCCATTGTGGTTGTTCTACTGGCCACATTGGCTCTTGTGGAGTAATCCACGGGTCCAGGAGTGGAACTCACTTTGGTTATTTCTGGCAGCTCAGTGGTGGTGGTCGTTGACATTGTAGTGGTCAATGTAGTTGTTTTCAGCGACACAGAAGTAGTGGGCCGGATGGTGGTGGTTTTCCTAACGCCCCCCTTCCTAGGATGAAAGCCTTTTTTCGTGGAATTCGTCCTCTTCGCACTGCTTTTCACTTGAGGCGTCACAATAGCGTTGGTTTCAATATTGGGCTGCAAAGTTGTGGATTCTGTTTTGGGCGGTGCAGCAGTGGTTGGTTGACTTTGGAATGCTGTGCGTCCACAAGAGTCGCCCATCTAGAGATCCACAGAATTTGAGTTAAGTGTTTGGGGAAAATCACCAACTACTCACTTGTTTGAATGGAGCATTACATTGACAACGTCCGAAGAGATTTGGGATTAGAAAGTCGCAGTGACTATCTGCTGTCCATAGTCGGCAATGAGCATTGCTGTAGCACACGTTCCCAGGTCGGGCAGCTGAAAATTAATCAAGGTTTATTAAATTAATTTCAGTTTTGCAATAGGTGTGATATCGAACAATCTCTGGGTCAAAACCCTCCATTTAATATTCTGTTATTTATTACTGATTGGATAATTCAATTACCTTAATTAATCTAATAGCGCGATATTATGTAATTTATATGTGCCATCAAGTGGCTTCAATTATCGCATACAGGACAGTGCGGTCTGTATCCCATTCAATAGAGGTGTGCGTCCGTTACGAATAATTTTCATAATTTATGCGAATATTAATAATGGATGAACGACTAAAAAGCATCAGGCTATGAGATGAGAAACAGTAGGCAGATACAACCGTTATGGCAAAAATGCCATCAACAATTACTGTTTTTAATAGACTGATAAGTAGGAAATGAGCAAAGTGCTTATTAATGCGATTCCTATTCAGTGTATCTCTTCTTGCATTTGGTCGCTTGCGGGTTCGGAATACCATTTGAAATTTAAATCGCCGTATTACAATAAAATTATGCCATGTTTATGCCTATTTGTTAGATGATGGGAACCACTCACAACACTATGTAATAGCCAACATTCAACAAGCAGTTAAACGAATACTACAAGTTTTATGGCATTTTTATGCACATGGAATACGAGGCCTGTTTTCAGTTTGCTTTCGCTCTGTAGCTTTTCGCATTTCGCTAATCACACAGGGAAGAGATTGGAGGACTCATCAATTGCATTCGCACCTGACAAATAATAATTACATATCGTTTGAAATGACGAGAAAAACGAAGGAGAGTGGAAGCTGAAGTAAATTGTATCAGATCAATTAACAGAAAATCTGTATGGCGTGCTGGCAAGATAACCAGTTCATTAGCAGCCGCGATAGCTCAACTACTTAATACAGCGTTATGTGAAAAATGTGTAATTATTTGCATGGAACTGGCTTTGATGCAAACAGTTGAGGGATGATGTAATTTGTTTGATGATATGTTCGCGACGAACAGTTAACGGGAGAAAAGAGGTAAACTTCCATTCTTGGAGCTGAAGTAATGAAAGAGCGCAAGCTGTTTGATTCCGAAGCTTTGAAGAGTCTTAAAAGTGTTGGAGGATAGGGGAAGTCGTTTAAAATACCATTACGGTGAAAGAAATAATTTACCTAGGCAAATGAGTGGCTTAGGAAAGTTTTCGATACACAAATCTGCCCTTTAGGATATTTGCTTCATGTAAGATTTTATGGAAGGATTTCGTTGCGACTAAGTCCCTATTCAATTAACTAAGCTGTATGACCATCCAGGAGCACACAGTTTCAACTTTTATTCATTTTGTGTTCTCTTCATTTAAGTGGAAGTTGTGATGCATCAAGCTTTACTATTCAGTCATTCGTTTCATTCATATTCCTGGAATGATTTTCTCATTAATCAAGGGTGAATGAGGATAGTTACATACAAGATGTGAGGAAATTTTTGCCAACAATGATAGGGCGTACGGAAGATCTGAAAATAAGTCTAGTATTTCGAATAATTTTTTCCCGGTCTAGCTTTCTTACGGGTTAATACGTTTAATGGGTGCTTTCGAAATTGTTGTTACAACGTGGCTTATAGAAGCTCGTCGTTTTTCATTGAAAATTAATTTGAAATCTTTTTATTGAACAGGTACGGTGAATATTTGCTTTTTTAGTAAGTAGAGATCTACTGATTTAGTAAATTTGGAAATATGTTAAAACAGTTAGATAGAGCCATTTTTTTGCTACAAAAACTGTTTTCTTTGTTTTCTTTTCAATATCTCTGAGGGTTTGAGAAATAAAATTAATAATATTGGAACGAGTATGTAAAAATTAAAGAACTTTGGTATTATTAATGTAGGTAAATATTCAAAATGTGTCTCATTTGTGTCTATGCACTTTGCATAATTATTTAAACATTTTAGTTGCACCCGAAATAACATACCTTGGCATTTATAATAACGCTGGGATAAGTAGTAATTCTATGTAACAACTCTGCTTTGGTGTTAATTAGAGTAGAGTAAACTAATGCTTTGAGGTGATTCCAAAGAAAATATCCAAATGGCCAAGACTTAGGGCCACTTCTGATAATCGGTTTACAAATACATTATCCAAGTGTTTCCTTACAGCTTCACTAAAGTGCGATCGAGAATCATCCTGCATCAGCCACATTTGATCACGAATATTTAAAAGTTTGCCTGTATTATAATATTAGAGTTAGATTAGAATTAAATATTACAATCAATAACGTTTTGTCGACAAAAGCATATGTCGAATCGAAGCGGATAATTCCGACTTCATCACAATACACGATTTTTCTGTGAAACCCACGCTTCTTTCCGTGATTTTCTAAAAATGTTCTGCCAAATTCTCCTCGGACTGGGTAATCAGCTTATGGCACGCACTTTTTGAAGATTGTGCTTTTAGAGTAATTGTTATTTAACAATTTTATGAAATATAGTCTTCCTCATATGTGATACTGATCATTATTTCCTTACATTTGTGCTCAGATCGATACCTAAAAAGTCTAATACTTATTCTTCAGCTTCAGCCGTTCGAGCTTTCCATGGTTTTTCGCCATGTAATTTTGGCCTTAAAGTGCCTAATTCTCTATTTCAGTAAATAATTTTAAATTGTTGTTGTTGTGCTCTACCAGTCCCACGTAATCGTTTATGAAGCCGGATAAACGTCTTACGATCTGGAACCCGTCTATTCTAAAAGCGGTTTACATATAGTCTAGCAGCATCAGAGACATTTTCTTCAGCTAATCCGTACATTAAGTGCTTGCCCTCTAATTCCTCAAAAGAGAATACTAGACACGAAAATCTTGATTTCAACTAATTTTCACATGAGTGCCACCACATATTGTTCTTCTCAAAAGGGGTAAAAGATATAAAAATGCAAGGTTACAGCAAAAGGACTGCAACTTAAAAACACAAATGTTAAAACTGCAACTCAAAACTTTAAAGCAACTGGTCACTTTAAAGACCGATAATTCCACAAAATATTAGATTGGTCCGAAAATTATATGCAGAACTAGACTTGGTTTTCAGGTCTTCTGGACGCCCTATCATTGTTGACCAACAATGTCTGCACACCCTGAGTATTTGTTTACTAGCCCTTTCCTATTCTTGATCATGCCTGTTGATCAAGGTATTTATTTTCTCCTTTTCGCGCTTTTATGGTTCTTCTCAGAAACGTTGTTTTATGTTCCACCGCATTTCACTCGTTTGTTACCTTCCAGTCTGTTTCACCATCGTCTTCTTTATCTACTTTGTTCTTTTGTAATATTTACGTTAATCCTTGTTGGCTTAAATAGTTTGGGGTTTCGGTCACTATTGATTCCTGGTTGATTTTGCCCCTGATTTCTGTACATTTGTGTAATGATCATTGAGCCCCATCTTATTTTGGGTAGTTCTAAGATATGGTTAGCTCCGCAATATTTTCCCATTGGAGGGTTGAAAATTTCTGTTTGCATCGAATTGAATTCTTGCTTCTAATGTTCTAAATCCCGCATTTGTCTTATGATTCTAGAATGTATTATTTATGCGAAGTACGTTCTGAGCACTCACAAATCAGCACTTGTTCACTTTTATTAAGAATCAAATTCTCGTTTCATATGAAATCTTTATTGTGTCATTGTCGTTTCTTCTTGATTCTTCTCCGTCTGGGACACAAACGCTTATTGAATGGCTTCTGATCGTGAATGATGGCTTCATGATCTTTAGATATGTTTTCAGTCACTGTTGTATCCATCTAATTTCTAACGTTGCTCTTTCGGTTTCGTCTTTTCTCATGTGGATGAAAATTTAAGGGTTTCCTTCCTTTTTTTAGTTTCAAGCTTTTTCAGTTCACCACGCACATGTGCCGATGTCAGAATCACATTCTACATCCCCACTGTCTTTGATTTTAGGTGCATCAATCACCGGGGATCGAATTCATCCAGCAAGCTGCTTAGCATAGGATAAATTGAGTTTAATCGAGTTTTTCCAACCCTTAACAACCCAGGAATATTTGATTTAACCCAAGAATATTTGGTCCATTTTTCGTCACGTGGAACACTGGAACTTTTTTGTATTGTTGCAATCTGCATCCCTTCAGCACTTCGAGAAGTCTGAAGATTCCCAACTCGGTGTCAATATTTTTCTATGAGCCAATTATACGGATGTATGAAAATTATATATTTTAATTGATGGCTTTCGTAGTTACATGCGTCATGAATTGACTTGCCGAGACAAACAATGGGTTTGCAAGAAGCCGTTAAATCCTACAGTGGAGGAGACTTGGCTGTTTTTTTTTAATAAACTTAAACATTATCGAAGTGTTTTTAATTCAATCATGCAGTAAAGTGGCTTCAATACAAAGGCACAATTTGTTTTCGTATCTTTTCTCTGGCATTTATTGTTTTGCTGTTTTGTCTCACTTCCAAGTCAAACATCAGCAATTTTCTATAATTAAGTGGCTAATTTAAGCATGCAGTTTAACCTTTGGTTGAAGACCGCTTGGTCCATGTTTCTCTTCTAAGCGATCTATCTTTATTTCATCCTTCTTTGCTTGCTCCTACATTTGCTTCGCCTATTCTAGTCCTGAGCGATTTTCATTCAAAAAATTAAAACTTTCCAAAGTAAAAACAAGAAAATAAATCACCAGCTACTCTTTAAAGATCCATTTTTTTCTGCCTCCACCACTGGCTAGTGGGATCAACGGAACATTGCATGGGTAAGGAAGCAGGATTAATATTCGATATGCGTTCGCATGCTCGAGACAGGTGCGTTTCCGACTTCGCATCGCAGGAAATCGTGCGGACTTGGGCTTCTCATGTACCGCAAAACTTCCGAATTGTTATTCCTCGAGAAGTTCTCAACAGTCGGGAATATTGGAAATTGAATATCCATCTTTGGTCTTGACACACACTGAAGTTCCCAATTTCAACGGTAATAGTGGAAATTCAAGCGATCAGGAAATTGTCCCGTCGGTTATTGAAGAGAGCTAATTTAAGGACGGAAAATCTTTTTGGTGCAACTTCAAAAATGAAGATGAAAAGCTAGCATCATGTGGAAAACATTAAGTTAAAAACTTCCCTCCTAGAAAGATAGTAGCATTGACATGAGAGCGACCCTAACCACTTGAATCAGCACACCAATCGCAAATGCTGCAATACCTCTTGCAAGATCATGGGATCAATGTTCCATTCTTAGGCGTGCTTTATTCAAAAAAATAACCGAAATGGAAGATCACCGATTTTCAAACAGGCAAAATTATATTGAAGAAGCGGAAGGAGGAAGGAAGTCTTTTTCCTAGGAAGTTCCTGGAAGTTGTTTCATTGCCTCTTAGATGGGATGCAGAAAACGCATTTCCGACTAAAGATTTATTGCTTCTAAAAAAGAAGCCAAAGCAATTAATTGACGCTTCACATCAGCACTTTTGTGCCGTTATCCATTCATCAATATCAATGAATTAGTAATCGCGACCTTGAAGACATTTACGAACTGATTCATGAGTCCATTCGAGAAGAAATTGCGGGTTTAAATCCCAGTTAAGAACAGTCCAGCAACAGTCACAGACAGACAATCGTACTGCTTACGTCCACTAGTTGTTTGGATAACTCTTTACTTTTACTTAGCACAACCTACCATTATTGATATACAAAATATGTAGGTAATACTTACGGCCAAGACAGGTGTGTTTTCTGAACTGGAGGAAGCCATCGATGCAACGGCACACGCCATCCAAACAACTGCTGTTGGCCACTTTTAGCGAACATTGCTCGGGCACTTGGCATTCGTAACCCAGTAAAGTGGCTGCAAAACATCGGAAATCAGGTTAGTTTCCTCAGAAATTTCCCTGAGGCTTAAATATGAAATGTTCAAATTTAATTTATTGATTTGCATTCCTCAAAATTGAGTTTGCATGGGATTAAAAGATCCAAAGCTAATGGTTTCAACAGTGCACGGCACATGTGTACAACCATTATTCAATCTAGATATCTGATGTGGCAGAGATTTCAAATTAATCCCATAAACACTTTGTTCCGATGCGAACCCATTAGGATGTGGAAGCCCGAAACTATTGGTTTTAGACTCCACATTCTGTCTTTTATTATAAATACATATACAGCTATTAGAACAAGCTTAAAAATGTTTGTTACTGCCAAGTAAGGATAGAGGCAAAGTACCTATTATTATTTCGCTGTCACCACACTGGGATGGCTAAAATAAATTACTTACACGGCAAGCACGAGCTTTGATTAACTCTTGCATAGAATGGTTGGCAGGAACATCGTCCTTTGTGACAAATGGAACCGACGATGTGTTCTCGACATTCCCAATCTCCATTGCATTCAGTTCCCAGCGTGAAGCCCACACTGTCGTCTCCACATATCTGTAAAAAGAACGTGATTTTTTGCATTGAGGACGCATTATTTTGAAGCTAACTGTTAATGTTCAAGAACTGGTCAGCCATTGAATCGAAATTCATGTCGATGTACTAAATTTGAAGTCACGAAAAAGTGGTAAACGTGATTGATAACAGCTCGTGGAAATCGGTACATTAACTGCCCAAATTGATCGGCTCAGATTTCTTTTGCAATGGTTCGGTGTTTTCTGCCGATGGATGGATCGAAGATGAAGAAGTTCAACCCAGCGCTTCATATTAATATATGTAATATGACGATAAAAATCCCAAAGCAAATATTTCATCAGATTCCCTAACGTATTCTCAACTAACGCCAAAAGTATCCTGTAGGCTCGTTATATTATAAATTATTTACAAGGATTTTCTCAACGGAGTGTAAAGCACATCTAATATATTTTCCTTAGGCCTACAGCGAAAGACGGATTGTTTCTTAAATGAAACCCTCATCAAAATTGGATGGGGGGATAAAATACAGAAGTACATCGTTTAAATTGGACTATAATGGAGCAGTGAAGCTCTGCAAGAGGTTGTGATGGCATTTCGCATTTCCTGCGTAAATTGGGTTAATTGAAATTTGCAGCCAGCAGATTCGTCTGCTTGCTTTTCATTCAGTYGCAATGTCGAATTCGCGATAAATATACATTTAACTCGAWTKCGCGAGATGAAATTWATTTTTGTATTCTTTCAGTTAAAGATTCTTTATCACTTTGGCATCATGCTAAAGTGGACCGTTTAGAATCGCATTTGATTAATTCAGCAGTTTTTGAAGATGGTTTTATATTGGTTTTACTTCACAGCAAATAGTTTACGACGTTAACCTCGCGAGTTTYGAAAAACTACATACTYTTCATATTTGTTWGAATTTTTTRGAAAAATTACAATYTKTAGGRTTKYCTTAAATTCGCATTATTTGRGATGTTCAACATTAGKAATCTGCATTTYTAGTTTTTCCGATTCAAAACTTTTTTATTTTTTGCTTCKTACTAGTTAGAACTCTCAGGAAGTCAAWTTTYCTATTTGTTKTTGTATCTGCARTTAATGGGGATAACTTTGTTAASTGGGTTTCCTTTTCCTCATCTTSATTATCAATYATATTGGTTTMATGTTAACCTCGAGTGAACAACTGGTCAAAAGACGCTGAAGATTTCCTTGTCTCTCWKGKATTAAAAATAATTCTCCAATCAACAAACRCTTTACAGCATCTSGRYGATGCCCTCRAATTAAGTGAATTAATGAACGAAASARTRAGTTCAGCAGCAAAATTMMRAAAAAAAKACCGCATTAATTCAAACCTCTTYASYTCTTTCTTTCTTATGTACTSAACAAACTTTTAGAAMARSTTTRTCGCCYTGAGGACGTCCAAATTCATAWAGCARAATGTTGTTAAATCAAAAAAATAAATTTTATAATCTAAGGCATATGCAGGATTGAGATGCTTTACTTGTTTTTACACAAACAGGAAGCTYGATCGTTGATTTTGCGACGAATATGTAAATTTCAAAATGGGTTTCAAGTAGGATCTATAYGTAGAAGGCTTTACYTTACCTKYATATAYTTGCGATTTCAGTTGACTGGAGCMTTTTGTCCAGCWTTGAAGATTTTTTTCAATTGGCTGAAAAAGCGTTGRGRTATAGGGCCCAAGTTTACATAAAACATTCTAGAGTGCCAACAAGCGACYTTAAGAAAAGGAAAATATAGCATTTACGTACAAAAAGCCTACTATTAATGGAGAAAGTTGCAGCCCATTGGAATTTTCTGTCGATTTYGCAGTGGCTTGTAAGTGGGTTTACAGACTTGAAGAAGTGAAAAATCCCTGAAAAGGTAGTTGGCTATTGAAAACTTAAAACGGCAGTTTTACTTTAGTTTGGGTTAGTTTGGGTTGATGGAAATTGATGCGACTCTTGCGGATACGTTAACATAAAACATATTCAACTTGCCARCAAGCCACTTTTTGCCACAAAATTTTGGATTTAGATTCAAAATGCTTTACATCAATCAACGAACTTATAACGCACTGAAAATTTTCGTTCATTTTTCAGAGAGCTTTAAATGATTGATCAGGTGAAGAATTTCTATAGCAAAAGGATTTATTTCATATACGAATGCAGTTTCAGCTGAGTAGCCGTTCTACTTGAGTAAGAGAGTACTGGGTATTTGGTAAAAAGTTGCCAATAATTCTAGGCTCAATGGTTTATAAGACACTCCGAAATAAGGCTAAAAATAACGGTAAATATCTGTTTAAGATCATTTCCACGGGAAAAAGACAAAACTTTTTCACACTTTTTTACATCTTCATATTTTTCTTATAAATAAGAGATTATGAGCAAAATTAGTCCCATTGCGAATATTCCTCATCTGCCTACTAATACCTAACGTTTAAAGAGGTAAATATTGTGAATTTTAATGACAAATCTGCTTTGAAATTTGAGTATGAGGAAACAGTATGTTTAAAGTTAAAATCTTAAATTTACCCCTGAAGTGAGACATTGCTCAGTGCAGTTGCTTTTTCAACTAMAAACAAATGTATTTTAATATACACAGGGCAAATTTYTTTTYATGTAAATGTAAAACTTTACAAAACAATAGCARAGACCATCTGCACATAATTGACTATTCTCGAAATAAAACGCCAGCAAAAACTGCATTCAGGTCAGTTTTTATATGTAATRACGATGTTCTCCAGCCTGCAAAAACTGGATTAACTCGCAGACTACCRTACTGGTCATAACATTAATAATTCAAGCTTYATTTTCATGTTCGCAACGAGGTCTTTGTGCAACAGGCACAGTTCTACTAACCAAAATAGAGTGCGAATAATTATAATAGGAAAATAACAGAAAATTTCTTAAATCGCCTACTAAAGCTTAGCTATAAAGAGCGTGTAGATGACAAAATTTGCAAACAGCAAATCGATGAAGAATAAAGAAAAATGAGCTTTCTGTGATTGTTTCGAATTTTCTTCAGCAAGAATTGCAGGAAAAAATGTCTAAGGGATTTTAAAGAAAAATGTTAAGCTAACACTACCGTTCCCAGAAACCCCGCAACCACTGAAGATGCCACTTGTGTTTGCGAAACGTCAGAAATAATTTTTCCAGGGCGGACTGAAAGCCTGAAACTGTTAAGATTTTCAAATCGTTTTCTCTGTGAAGTTTGTTTCAAAACAAAAGTTACCTAAAGTCTAAAATTCACACGAAAAAAGGTAAACATCAACAAAACCAACGTTTGTTTATGTCGTATTGAACTCTTGATTTATGGCTAAAGGTTGATTAACAAACCAGGACAAATATCGTATTAAACGTATTAAATAACGCTAAATTAACATGTTCATTGCCCATAAAACGGTTAGTTTTTCGTCTCTCATGTCTCGCGACTATAAATCTGCCAATTTACCGCTTCAAGTACCATCCTAATCCGTTTTCCTCGGCAGTGCGGTCTTTTGAGTTATTTTACATGGTCTTCGTGGTCAAGCCAATGCGAAAAACATCAGCTCGTAATGTGACTGCACACATTTAATGCATTTCCTCAACCGCAGAAGATGGAAGTATGGAAACGAGTTAAAGGTATTGTTTAGTTGGTTTCTTTATTAGATTTTTTGCTGATGTTGGTTTTTATAGTCTTGTTTCGCCATTTTTTCCGCATCGGGTTTCATGGTCAACCTGCATCAATTTTCACAATTATACATGTCGTAAAGTTAACTGATTTTCTTTAAAATTGAATCCGACGGTCAACAAAATGCATTTTTTCATCGCCATTAGAAGATGTTTAAGTCTGAGCAGAAATTGTAAAGAGGTTGATTCTGCTGGTATAGAATCCAAGAAGCAACATTTGTTGAGCACGAGAATCCGCTCTTCTCCCTATTTATTTAATGTTCTAGTGATTTTTTGTGGAAGATGGAAAAACTTCGGAGAACGGACAGTTTACCCATTAGTAAATGAGCAGAAAACACAGACAATAGTGGTAAACGCATTAAAGTGAGCTGCAGGAGAGTACGCGATATTCTGGGAAGCTGTTGAAGTATACCGGTTCAGAGATGGGATGGCTTTACTTTAAACTGACCGCACAATGATGTAGTTAAGTTGCTTAGATGGACAGTTAGTAAAAGCTGTATATTTAATTAAGCAGTGAAGCGCATGTAAATTTAGCCTAATGAGATTAGGGCTAGAAAATTGATAGTGGGAAAAAGTGATTACTCCTTGAAACTAATCAGTCAGGCACTCCAGGCGGACATAAAAAGTGCAACATAAAACGGACTTATACAAAGATCTAAGGCATGCTTCTGTTTCATTTATAATTTGTAATAAAAAAAACTGTAGCAGAAACGAATGCTCGCTCCTCTAGATGAATTATTGTGAAAACGAAAGCGCTAATCGGAGATATTATTTGTTGAAGCCGAGATTCCATCAAGCCGCAGGAATGTGCCGATAAAATAGTCAATCGTTTGCCCGATAATATCCTATTAGCCGTTCTAGTTAGCTGCATGTGGCTGCCATTCCAGCCCAGTTGAAGCTGAGCTTGCTAATTCTGATTAATAGTACGGTGTCAGGATCATCACACGAGATCTACTTGCAATTATACAGCGGCTGCATGCCGCTCTTAATTTTGTTTCTTTTTCCCCAAGGCGAGGGTTCAGGGAAAATCACTTTTTGCTCGTTAATTTTGAATAGTACGGGCATTAATGTCCGAGATCATAAGAGCTATTAGGGTTGCATGCTTTACAAATTGTTGCTGACCTCCAGCCAGCTATTTTTTTATGCTCTCACAACTATTAAAATGCTCTCAGCTCTCATCAATTATTTGTATGTTGAGCTTTAAATTATTTTAACTTCGGCATTAGCCAGCTATTAACACTAGTTGCAGATTGAGTCTCAGAATTACAAATCTGAGGGGCCTTTAGAGCGAAAAATGCTGGCCAATTGCTCAAAAATTTGAAACCATGCATTTGAGGCCAATTTAAAAGGCGACGTGCC